GGCCCACAGAGGGGATGAAAGCGGGGTGCTGGTTTGGGAATTACTGGCAGGGGTTTTTGAATCCAATTTGGAGGTGGGGGGTGTTCATGAAGTGGCCCCTTAGGCCCCATAAAAGCCAAGTCTCACTTTTGATCACTTTGCTGAGGTGTGCAGCAGGGCAGAGCCGTCCCGGTGTGTCTCGTGTCTGTTGTGCATTATGTGTTGTTTGTGTATCTCATGTCTTTCACCTTAGCCCTTTGAGGGACCTGTCAGAAACCCTGGCATCATTGTTAGCACCTGTGATCTCTGCATTCCTTGGCCTGGCACCCAGGCCATACATGTGTTCCTGATACCTGTCTGAGCTCCCCAGTCAAAAGTTCTCTCTTTGGAAGCATCCAGTCAGATGTCTTGTCAGGTCTTGTTCTGAGCTGTATGGACAGCTCTGACCCACCTGGATCCATTATGGTGGATTAGGACTTGAAAGAATGTGAGGGCAGGGAGAGGATTCTGACCGTAGGATTCCTAGGCATCCATCTTTGCTGTTCTTGGAATCAATCATTCAGTTAGCATCTTCTTTCTCCAGGATTCTCTGAGCCTCATCAGCTCACCATCGGTCTCAGCTTGGTCATCTCCTTTTGCCTTCTCTCAGTCCTTGCAGCCATTTTCCTTGCCAAGAGGTTTGTGTCTGTGTTGTGTCCTCATTGTCTGTCACGTCCTGTCCTGTGTCACGGGTGTCTGCACACATTTGTGCTGGAGCTGCTCTGCCCTGCCGCGTAGCCAGGTGCAATAGGAGAAGCCCCGGGGATTTGGAATTTGTAATGTGAGATGTAGTTGGACTCTAGATGGGTTTTGTTGATGGACCCAGGATATCTGGAACTCTTCAGCTTATCCTGCAACAGTGTGACTCTTGCCCTAACTTTATTTTCAGATTCAGATGGATTAAATCTGTGCCTGAGGGCCCCATCCTTGGTGAGGGGATTCCCCTTAGCAGGTGAGGCTGCATTTGTCTCTGCAGCAGAAGTGTGTATGGTGACTCTGTTACAGCTCTGTTCTTTGTCTTTCTTTTTAGGAAGTCAGTCTGGATACCAGGAGCCAAGGTGAGCAGTGGAGAGAAGTGGTTGTTACTGCTCAGCTCTCAAGCAAAACAACTTTTCAGCGGATTCATCATGTCACAAGAGGCATGTGTCCAGTGTGAAGGATGATGTTTGAGATTGAGGTTTCAGGTGAGTTGAGGATTGTGACTGGGAGAGGGAGGGTGAGCAGGTATCCAGTTAGGAGTTATTGTGGGCAGGGGGAGGTTTGCAGACAGCAGGGTGAGAGAGGGTGTTTATTTGTTTATTTGAGGGCCCCCCTACACAAGGCTTCTCAGAAGCCTAGCAGAGGTTTTCACATGTCTTACAGCACACAAAGTCATCCACTGCACTCACAGGAATGCCATTTAACTTTGCCTTTCCCTAACCCAGGTGCCACTCCTAATAAAGGCCACAGCCTTGGAATCAGGATGAAGCTGGAGCCTGAAGGAGCCAGGCACACTCAGGAAAGGGCAAGTAGCCGCCTTGGTGGGATTTGTCCCACATAACTCTGGACTCACACTTTGGTTTTGGTTTTCTTCATTGTAGCTGACCGAGAGGCTGACAGGCCATCACGGGGCCCTCCAAGGCAGACTCATTTCAGGTGCAACGTGGATTCCCATCACTGATCATGGAAAAGATAAGTCGGGGGCCAAGGCCTGGAGATGGGATGATGGGAGAGTAGTGGGTTGGGAGTTCTTGGGGCAGATTTAAAGATTAGCAGAGGGAAAAGCAATCTTCTCCAAGGGCCCTTAGGACGGCTAAAGGGAGAGGCTCTACTTTTGATGGCAGCTTTCAGGCGGGCAGTGCAGAACAGCTCTGGTCTGTGTCTTGTTGTCCGGTGTGCTGTGTTCCCTGGTGTGTCTTTGGGATCCCTTTTGCCTTCTCCCCTCGAGGCCCTCACCACAAACATGATGTGTCGTGTTTCGTGTCCCCCTGTTTGTCACGTTCTGTGTCACGGGTGTCTGCACTTATTTATGCCAGAGCTGTTCTGCCCTGCTGCATGGCCTGCTGCAATGGGACCAACCTGGGGAGTTGAAATTTGTAATGTGGGGTGTACATGGGCTCTAGATGCTATTCCTAGATTGACATAAGGTGTTTGCAGCTTTTGAGTTATCCTGGTGGTGTTTGACATGTGTTTTAACTTTCTTTCATGCTAACATGTCCTGCATTACTGCAAGACTATACATTTCCAGAAAGATTTCTTTTAATACATTTTTAACTGCAGGATATTTGTAACTTTTAGAAGAGCAGGGAAAGACAACTTTTATACATAACAATTTCTTAGTTTTATCTGTGGCCCCGCTACACTGTTTTAATTAATGTTATTGTTGTATGTGTTGAATTCCAATGACATAAGTATATTTTAAATTTCTCTTAAATTCCCTTTTGTCAGTTTCTCAGGGTCTCTCATGTGTGGTAGAGCAGCCATAAGGTTCTGTAAGGATTACTACTTTCAATTTTTCATCTTGCAAAGCTGAATACAGCTGCATCCCCCTGAAAGGCATTAAATAAACAAAGCCACACCTGATGGCTTCCCTTCACCTCACAACAAAATACTGTATTGGGGTCTAATGAAGGTTGTTTCAGCAGCACTGTCAATGTATTTTATAATTTGATTTCAAGACAGTATCTTGACATAGAAGTTTTAGTTGCATTTCTTTGTTTTCCGTTAGTAAAACTTGTGAAAGCAGTTCATCAGAAGCAGTTCTGTATGTTGTGAAGTGGACAGCCCCGAGGAGTATTGAGTCGCACTAGGAAAAGAAAAAAAGGGTACAAGTTTGTATGGTTGAGGGCTCAGAAGGAAGAAAACCAGTATAGGATACTAATTTGTATGTTGAAGTTAAAATAAGCTTTTTTAGCTCTTGGTATTTCTCAAGAAAATTCCCAGAAAACCTTTCCCTGATTTCTTTTTATGTTCCAACTTCATTCCTTTTTCCCCTATACATTTTTTAGCTTTTAGAGGCAGTGAGCTGCTTATCTCATGGCACAGATTTCGGTTATCTCAACAGATTTCTCACTCTGTATTGTACTGCCTCATCTTTCCCCCCATTTTTACAAAGCCATTTAATTCCTGGTTGGCTTGACTTGGTCAAGAAAATACCACCTTAAATAAGCATGTAGAAGAGGGTGAGGTTATGAAAAATGTTTATTTCCTTTTGTCTTTAAGTTATTGGCTTAATTAAGTCTGTTCATAAGAATAGGTGAATTCTCCAACGTTGAGGGAAAATAGTTGAAAGGAGACTGTTTCAAGGTGCTGAATTGAGTTTTTTGTTGAAATAATGCTAACTTGTTCATCTCTTCCTGCCTAGGTGCGTGAGACTAAAATTCCATCGAATTCATATGAGCAAAGTTTGTTTCTTCTCTGCCTTTAGAGAAGATACAACCCTTTAGACTTTACCGAATGTCCCTTTAAGTGTTGTCTTGATCAGTCTCCTGATGCTGTGCAGAAATTCCTGCTTTATCCATGGAGAACACCTGCTGAAATCTCTCTTTCTATATATATAGATGTATCAAATATGCTGGTTTCCCTCCATTCCTCTCTCCGTTGGGCTGGCTGACTCGAATAATCATTGTCTGAGCTTTTTCCCCATAGAGCTGGAATGAAATGTTTCTATACTATGTTTTTGCTCACATAGTCATACGAACAAGATGAATAATTTGCAATTGCTGTTGATCCCCCAGCTATCTCACGGCAGGCAAAGAATTCCCTCTTTTTTATTTTCCTCAAAACACTGAAGGTCCTAACAAGAAAGGTATCTGCAGTTCAGAGTCTAAAATGTCCGTGAAATCATCTGAACAGTACCTGATCAACAGGTGCTCAAACATTTGGGAGCCACTAGAGGCAATATTCTACGGATAAACAACTCATATTTATCTTCAGGGTCCAGTAAAACAGCAAGAAGGAAGAGGATGTCAGACATCATCTTGCATTATCCTGTTAGTACACAGGCAAGAAATGTGGATACTAACTACAAGGACTGGGAAGGAAAAGCAGATTTTAAATTATTGCAAATCAGGAAAACAGAACCATGTAGTGCAGAACTTGGATGGAAGAGCATTTTTCTTCTCTTCTGGTGTCAAAAGGTAGTTATTGTTCCTTCTGTACACAGAAACACTGCTGTGAGTCGCCTTAATCCCCTAACTGACAAGGATTCATTGGAGAAAACACAGTATTAATCTTTTCCTTAATGTCTGCCAACAGCAGTTAGAAAATATTAGCTAGTAAATGCCACGCAAATAACTCAAGCCTGCCTAGAAGAAACAGCTTCTTCACCTTGGGGATGTTTGCTTCACAAGTAGCCATTGTTCTGCCTGCAGGACTAACAGGTCAGGTCAGATTTGTCTGTGTTTTACTCGTATTGAAACTTTTCCTCTGGAACACATAGGAATTCCCTAACTTAAAAAAAAGAGCCAAAAAAGCTTTCAGATGGCTGCTTAGCTCTCAGGAAAAAGTGAACCCTAACAGAAATGCTGGAGATCCAGATTACCAAAAGGCCTCTTTTAATCCCAGAAGATGCACCTGGGCCAGGTGGAAGTCAAATGAAATAAAAGGGGTATGGCCAGTGGCTGACAGAGTGACAAGCTGAGTGGTCACAGATTTAGCAATATTCTTTGGAAAGACAAATTCACAGTATTTATTGTACTTGCCACGGGTAAATGAGTTAATGGAAAACAATATTAAATCAGGAAACTGATTTTCAAAGTAGTGAAGATGAAGAAAATTCTGAGCAAAGCAGTTCTTTGGTTCCCCCATCATCAGTGTAATGCTTCCCTCTCAAAGCCAGAAATAAGGAGAGTCCCTTTATCTCTTTGACTCCAGTCCAGAGTTGTAACTTGGTGTTACCTTTCCTGTGCGCATGACATCAGGTAAGGAAAAATCATATTCAGTGCACACCACTGAATAGAGGAAAAATTTAAAATTTAGGACCCATTTTATTTCATGCGAACTATGTAATAAACACTTCTGGTTTTGATGTTTTATGGAGGCAAATAATTTATTTCTTTTTTGTGATATTTCTTCCAGTGAGAAAACTGGAGATAATTTTTAATGCCCTTATGCTAGCATTGTACAAAAGGGCAAAGAAGAGTCTTCACATAAATATTTTAGTTTTGACTTTGAGTTCTTGGACGGAAGAAGTAATTGAGCTTACCTGAAAACCACAATAGAAACAGATATATTAAGAGATAGCCAAGAGGATTATAATTTTTTTTCTGGTTTATTTTTGATGATAATCTAATTTCTCTGAGGGTGTTCATGTAAGAATATTTTTTACCAGCTTATGTCTTTCTGACCAGTGTTTGCAATCCCTTTGTATAACCTTTTCAAAGTTTTGTACAAATTCTGTAAAATTTTTTTCTTCATATTCTTCACATTCTTTGCATTTTTCTGATTTTGTGGAAGCCGACTGAAAAAAAGAAGAAAAAAGGCATTAGTTTTTCTCATTAGTTTTCATCCCACAGTTTATTGGATAGCAGAAATACCTCTTTAGTTACATAAGCATTTTGATTTGCTTTTTTTCCACACACAATTGGTGCTGCTTACCTTATTTTTTTCGAAGCTGTCATTCCCATTTTTCCAAATGTTCCACACATCCTGTGTTTTACTGCAATTTTTGATACGACATTCTTGAACTATCACTTCTGTCTCTAAGAAAAAGCACCTCATTACAAGTTCCTGGCATTCTTCCTGAAAAAAACATGCAGTTGCAATAGTTTATGATTAAAAAGGAATAAGCAAATGTAGGTCACAATTTATTATCTAATTTAAACCACAAGTATTATATAAGTGAGATGTAATCTAAGATAAAATCAGCCACAAAGAGACTGATTTTTACTTACTGGGCATCTTTTCTTACTATTCAAGTACATTTGAATATCTGCAGAGATGGACTGTGAGAGCTAAGAACAACAAGAGCAAGCACTTTGCTGAGATGGGGTGAAACATGAAGAACACAGGAAAATAATTAATGAGGATAGGAACCTGGCATATAACTAACCATAGTGGAATTAATTTATTATTATGCTTAGTAGTCTTAACACTTTAACTCGGAGACCTGAATTCAGAATGGGTAAGAGAGCAGAGGAAGCAGGTAATGTTCCCTTAATTAAAAAATGAATCCCAGAATTATTTTAGCATTGTTTGCCTTGATAAAATGACTTTGAACCACACAATCACAGAGTAGTTTGGGTTGGGAGGGACCTTAAATATCCTGTACTTCCAACCTCGCTGCTATGCACAGAGCCTCCTCTCTGTGGGCCAGGATACCCAATATGGCCTCAACCATCCCTTTCAATTGATTAACTTTAGTAGCAGATGACTAAATAAGGATAATTAATACCTGCTTGCATAGTTTATCATAAGCACATAGATTAGAAGTGCTATTAATTCCAAGGCAAATTATTTGATTTTAGACGCATTTATCAAATTAGAACAAGTCTGCTTTAGGGGATAGTTCAGATAAGGCCATGAAGGCACCACATTAAACATCAGTTGTGGTCATGTGTGAAGTTTACTTACATCCTCATCTGCGTTGGCAGTGTATAAACTGACATCAATGTCCTGCAAGGAAATAAGAGTTGTAATTACCAACATTAGCTAACAAACACCATCCCTCTCCCTCTCACTAGCGCTTCCTAGCTGAGTGCAGTGCTAAATGTTTTATTAAGGCTTCTTCTAGGATTGCAAGAAAAGCTGACTGTTTCATGGACTTACTCTGGATGTCTTGATGGCTTGCAAATCCTGCAGAACTTCTTCCCACTTGCAGCGTCCTGCTTCTGTCTTTGGAACATAAGCACTGGAACAGAAGGAGCACAGTGACCATCGGGATAAACAGGAGGGATCTACAACCTTTACCATGAAAAAAAGGACTCGGCATGGTAAGATATTAGAGATACAGTGTTTACGTGTAAATTCATATGGTAAATGCTTGGGGCAAGCAGGCAGATTTGAAAAATCATAAAATCACACAGATACATAAAAACAGAATCTTGTGTCACACACAGTATAAACAATGTGGGTTTTTCAGAAGGCCACATTTATAGAACATAATGCAAGAGAGAGGTTCGATTACCTGATGTAAAATACCAAAAATTCTTTTAAAGTGTAAAAATAAAATTCCAAATCCAGTCTCTGAAGTGACTAGAGACAAGTAACAGCTCTGATAGTGAAAATAAATAATTTGTAGCTAGTGTCTGATTGACATTAGCTCTGTATTTACCATAGGAAGAAGATGATTAGTCCCATTCCATTCTTTACAAGGCAAAAGCAGTGGCTGTTCAGAAGCAGATACTGCAGACAAATACTTTTCAGGTGTGTTTTCTGGAAGACACAACCAAAGTGATGCCTTGTCACCATTTGATTCCACAGAATTTTGCTTTAGTACTGATTTAATTAACCAATTTTCCAAGACTTCCAACAAAGACAAAACCCTGTTGTGTGTAGCTGGAAGGGCCAGCTGATTTGTAGCTTGGAGAAATACAAAATCACTTTACCCGACAGTTGGTAGAATACACAATGTTTGGGAAAGGAATGCTGTTTTTTAATAATGAATTTAAATTAAGCATTTTAAGAGCAGTTGCCTCTGAGTGATATCTAAGGTACGCTACTATTTTCTCTTTAAAGAAGCAAATCTGTAAGCAAATGAAAAAACCTTTCTTTAACGAAGCAGATACAGCCAATGACTTTGCTGATTTGGCTGTCACAGAAACAATAATCTAAGTTGCTCAAGAGAAAATATTTGTGGTTTTTTACAGTATTTAAGTTACATGCGATGGAAAATACAGACAGTTAAAATTACATGCTTCTGCCTAAATACCATATATCTAAACTTTTTTATTAATATTTGCTTATAAATGTCTCCTTGAATCCTTGAGATAAGATATTCATAAATATGACAATTTCTTTCCAGGCTATGCCATTTGGTTCTTTTTTCTCCTTATTTTGAACTGTATTTTTATTCTTTATTTATATCTTTATTCCTCATCTGCTTCCTTGTTCCTGAAGACAAATGGTCAGAAGCATACAGCGCACTCAGATCTAATGAGGGATTTGGAAACCGGTGACACTGTTTTCAGTTTCTGTGGGAAAAGAGGAGCTACTGCCAGTGTTTTCTTCACAACTGATGGCTCAGACCTCAATATGCGTCCCTGCCAGAACTTTATGTCCACTTCTTTCAAAATCCTGAAATGTCCTGAGAGTCTTTCAAAATACTTCATTTGCAAAAACCCTCACCCTATAAGTCTCACCCTATAAAGTCTAACCTTCTTCATTGTTGATTATTCTCGATTTTTCTCTCAACTTTTTGACTTGTAGCATACAGTTTTTTTCCTTGATCAGCCCCCTTTCCTTGTTCCCATGAGCAAATCAGCCTTCTCAAACACCTCTCTCTCATAACAATCTGTTTTCCCATTTCTCATTTCACTCTGTAGTACAATAGACTTCTTGCACATTATTCATTATTATTATTTTAGTTGGTCTCTTCTTCTCCCCTGTTCTAAAAATATGTGTCCTCAGCATTTTTTCTCTGGCTTCCTGTGCAGCAAAGCACTTTAAATCTTCTTTTCTCTGTTACTGCAGCAAATTTTCCTCTGTAATCTTACATCACCTCCAGCTCCTGCCAGTCCTTTGGCATTTTATTAAGAAATGTCTCATGCATAAAGGAGGGATCTTTTTAGATCTGCATCCAAGTACTGTTTACATCTTGTAAAATTTTACACCCACTCATCTGCATTGTTGCAGCAATTCTTCTTCTGTGACTTTTTTTTTCCAAGGGTGGAGCCATGGAGAGTAAAGGTTTCATAAACTAGTGGAAGTGGCTTTAAGAGGAATGGAGCCCATAAATGAAGCAGCACTTCTGAACTAGATAGATGTTTCCATATACTGAGCCCTTAAATAAGTAATTTTGAGATCAAATTTTCATGGATTATGAGTAAGATTTAGAGAGAAGACATATTCTAGCTGCCTTGTCATGGGGTAAATGCTGAAAGCCAAAGAAGCAGATTCACTGAAGAATCTCTCTGCTCTTTCATCCCTGAGTCACTTTAGGCTTCTTGTAGGAAACAATCGAAGGCAAACAAAGAAAAAAAGCCCTGAGTTTGAATTAGTGTCAGAATGGCACTGTCCTACATGGCTTATTCTGCCTGTATCAGGGAAGTGCTAACCTTCAAGGGAGTTTTCTCAGTAATCAGCCTGGCAGGAGCCTCTCTCAGTTTATATCACATTCTGTATTTATATGTTCTTTGTTTGCTACTTGTTGATTTGCTTTGGCAGCCCTTTCTCCTGTCTGTTCCTGATAATTGGCATTTATGCCAGAGAGTAAAGTTTGTAATGCCTGCTTGAAAATCTTGCTGAAAGGTCACAGAGTCGTTGCTGTTCCACTCAATACATTAAACATCAGAACATGAAATGTAACAAGTTAAATATTTTCTTTTGACCTTTACTTTCTTTTGCAGATTGTGCTTGAGGCCCAGAGCTCAGACTGTTTCCTTGTGGAGATGTGCCCTGCACTTGGCTACAGACCTCGTATTTGCCAGGTGGCAAAATCCAGCCAGGAAAGAAAGGTAATTCATGCTTCTTTCTCTTTTCATCCTTCCATGCAATGTCAGTCTTTTCAAGGTATCAACCCCTCCTCAAATTGTGAAAGACCAGCTGAATGTTTTCTTGATGCAAGGACGTATAATATTAATTATATCTGCTAGGTTAGCTTGCCAAACACAATTGACACAGAGACTCCCTGAATTTTGCTAGTGGCAAAAATAATTTAGCTCAAATACACAGCAAAGAAAAAGCACAGAGCAAAAAACTCATTTGTAAGGCACAGCTGGTGAGATTTGACCATTTATCCCCAAATGACACCCTTCAGGAGGCAATATGCAATAACTAGTTAAAAGGCCTTTCAGAATAAGTTCTCACAGATAAATAAACAGTGAGAATAAAAAGATATTCAAAATGTAAAGGGCATTAATAAAACACATAAAATGGAGCCAAAAACTAAAGTTTGTTTAGCAAAATGTGTCCTGATCTATACATTTGCTGTTAGGCACTCCTTGTACATATTATTTGTGATATTTTTATCATAGCAACAAATACCCAACAGGGAATGAGAACGCAATTACGGATTAAATTTCTGTGCCTTTAGGGTAGGATATTAACAACTGGAACAGTATCAAACATGGAAACTTGAACAGCAAAAAAATTATAAATTATGTCATATTGATGCATAAAACTGAAACCTCTGAGGCCATAAAAACAGTTGTTACAAGAACAGCTGCTGGACAGATAATATCTCAGCCTTAGCAAAATACTCAGCTTAAAGACTGCAAGACCATACACTGATAGAGATCTGTAACGCACTTGTAATAGATAAAAGACTAAAAATAGCAAAAGCAGTTCTCAAAATTGTGAAGTTAGGCAAGTTCCAGAGCTTTTTAAAAAGAATTATAATCTATGGCCCTCTCCTACAGTGATACTTCTACTGGAATTTGCTGGATCCTGGATTAGAGGCATGATGCAGTTTGAAACATTCTAGCATGTTTTTTCATAATTTTTGAATGGTAAAGCTAGAAATCAATCTTATTTCATTCTAAACAAGGAGTCAGCTGACTCTGTACATGTAAGCATTAATCTTTGGGGTTTTTAAGAAACTTCAGTGATAGCATGGGTTGCCTATTTCCAGAAGAGGAACAAAATCAGAAGAAAATGTGGTAGTGTTACATCTGTCTGAGGTCAGTGAACATATCAGCACATTTTAGCTACTTTGATAGATTACACCCACTCCCAAACAAGAACCAGAGCTGTTGCCAATACAAACAATGCAAAAAAAAAAATTATGTGAAGGCTCAAGAGATCACAAGCTTTCTCCAATGTTCCTTGTGCCCACAGGCCACTGAAACGGGCTGATGAGCATAGCAGAGTATGGCTGAAATGAGCATGCTGAAGAGGAACTTGCACATTTCTAAGCCTCCAAGCTCACTCATTTCTGCTCCTACTCTGCAGCGGTTGAATTTCTGAACTATTGGCTAGACTACTCCTCAGAACACACACCTTGAGGTTTCCCAAGCTTTGGCCAGAACAGGTCCAGCAGCATTTCAGACCCAGGAAACAAAACCTTCCTAATTGGGTTTTTGGTTTTTCTATTCTGCATTCGCGTCACTACTGTAGGCTGTCTCAGAAAGATTTTCTTGCAATTGATTGGCCTCCATTTAATGCTATCATTTGTTTTACCCTTGGACATTAAGCCTCCAAGTCGCTGCTTTTGTTCCACTGGGTTTTCTACCTTTTGTTTGCAGAGCCTGAAGGACATTATTGATCTTTATCTGGTGCTGCACAGACAGCTAGCCACGGTTTTGCATCAGAGTGTTGACCTGTTTCATGTGGGTTTGAGCTCTTTGTTTTTCTTTCGGTTCACCAGGCACTGTGAGAACATTTTCATCATTTCAAAACTGAGCAATCCAGCTGAGAGAAAACAAATCTCTTCTCTCTTAGTTTTTGATGTTTAAATAAAGATTTTTTCCATTTGCAAAAGTTTTAGCTGGTTAAATGAATTAGAGAAAACGATCCTTTACAAAATAATTAAAGTATAAACAGAAATAAAAATTAGTTTTCATTAATTAAATGAAGGCTATTTTGTTTTCTGATATTTAAGTCTGGACAAAACAGGTGTCATAGGCTGCTTTGAGATAAAATATTCTGTCACAGGTTTTGGATGCTCCATACTTTGGATATGGTTTGGGCACTGAACTCTCAGGAAAGGTGCTGGCAAAACCCCTCAGGTCCTAAAGAGGGCAGAGAATTACTTGTAGCCCCTACTGAACCACATTGCTGCTTAAAAGTCACTTTTACTGAGTGCAATATAGAGCTTGAGTTCACTCTCAACACTGGATCTTGCTCATAGTTTCAGTCCAATTATTTTCTTTTTTAAAATTGTCACCAGTGCACAGTACATAAATTTGCACTATTTCAAGTTGCTCATCTTTAGCTTGAGAAAAACTGCTAGAAAACTACTTTGTCCTCACTGTGACCTGTGTGTCCTGAAACTGCACACAGTTTAAAATGAGACTTGAAATATTCATGTGTCATTTAAATTATGCAAAATAATCTACAGCAACCATAAAATCCTATGAATCTGAGAGATATTTTCAGCTACATGAGGGCAGGAGATGAGGGGGGTTTTGCCAAAAAATAAAAGAAAGAAGGAAAAAGGAAAATGCTGTGGCATTTTGGACTTAAGTTGTCTTAATGCACTTGTGACTGGAATAGAGTTGATTTTCTTCCAAGTACCTGGTACAATGCTGTGTTTTGGAACTGAGATGAGAATAATGTTAATAAGTGTAAGGATTTAATCTAAAATACCAGAGATGTTTACAAGCCTTAAATTTTCTTTATTACCTACTTTTCACGTTGGGTTGCAAAATACCATTACAAGCTTTGCTGAACTTTCAGAAGAATGTCACGTTGTTTAAGAGGTGCTTACCTGGCTCTGCAGCCTGCTCAGTGCTCCAGCGTTTTGTGCCATCCCCAGCATTCTGCCTGCTGGACCATTACTCAGAAGAGAAGCACAGCATCTGGGTCAGAAAACTACATTTTGGGGCCTACATGGGGGAAAAAAACCATAAGTATAAAGCCACAATGGATTTCTGAGTGGCTTTCAGCCTGTGCATTAAGATGATTCAAAGCAGGAAGCCTCTTAAATTTTGTAACTTCTGCAAGTCCCCTGTATATATTCTGAAGGCTTAGGGGCAGACAGCAGGGATGCTGCTGGTGCACAGAGGTGGAATTTGAGTTGTACGACTGGATGGAGAGCACAGCGAGGAGTAAAGACATGGTGGGAGTGAAAGGAAGGAGAAAGTTTGAGGGCAGCAGAAGTAGAAGGGTTTATGATCACTAAAGCATAGTCTACTCAAAACTCAATCCCATGCTCACTGCCTTCCCATGAATTCATAATCATGAAAAGGTATTAAATCTTTAATCAGAGTATGATGTAACGATTTCCTTTTTCTCACACACCATTTGTGAACCAAATGGATTGTTTTCACAGAGCGGACCAAGCCCCTGGAAAAACCCAAACCAAATAAATATACATATAAATATATATTTTTTTTATATATATATATAAGTACATACTCTAGACAGTGTAAAATCAGATTTTTCGTGCACCCATGTAAGTAATTACTCTAAGATAGTGTAGCTTAGGCTGTAGACATTTTTTATTCAATAAAAATGATTGAAAATGAAATAAAATGAGCGAGAGAAAGCAGCATGTGTGGACCCCAGTCTGATGGCTTTGGCCATCACCAGCACCCAGTGTGGGTCACTGCAGGTCCGGTTTACCCTTGGGATCCCCAGTGCAAGCCCAGGCGAGCTGTCACCCTGCTGTCACCCCCCTGTGCTGCCCAGCCTCCCCACTGCACTGACAGCCCTGAGTATAACCAATCATAGCACCAGCATAATCAAACCTCAGGAATGTGAAGCAGCAATTGAAGCCGCAATTGACCTATTTACCCTTACAGCATAAAGAAAACCTCCGGGAGCTACACCATTGCCTAAGCACACCAACAGGAAAAGGAACTGTTGTCATTTCTTTTCCGGCAAAGGCTGCAGCACTTGAGCCTTTGAGAGCCACTGTGACTCACGTTCCTGTGTTCTCACAAGCACACCACACACCCTTGCTCCAGCTGCCATGCCTCTTCTGTCTTTGTTATTTTCATGGCATTCAGCCTGAGGTTCGCTTGACATTCAGCCTGAGGCAGGGTGGCTGTGTGGCTTACACTAACAGACACAATTCATTATTTTTGAGCAATAAGTGCTCAACAGCTCTCCACATGAGTGTGCTCGTGTTGATGGCTTTTCCTCTCGCAAGCTCACTGAAAGCTTCCAGCTGCAGCTCTCAGAAGTCAGGCACATTGATTCCCAGAGAGAATTCCTTAGCTCTGGAAGGGCAGGTCGGGGCTTCTTTCTTACAAGAAAACAGCAGTTTTGTCACTAACCAGAATACATGCAGGCCCCTCTGGTACAAGTGCCATAACTCTTAATTAGCCAATGCAGCACCTGGTGCAGGGCACAGATATAAAGTCATACTCTAAGCTTCAAACAGCCCAGTAGACTCCCAAATTTAACACCTCTATTGAGCTATAGATATTGTTTGTTTAGACTGTGTTAATCTGTAATTATCTTTTTCCAAGACAAAATAACTAAATGGTATGTTTCCATTTAACTAGTACGTGCCAAATTAATTTGTAACTGTAAATAGAACTAAACATCCTGAGAGACAAAGGAAGCACTTCACTATGTACTGTGTACTATGTACCACTTGGAAAGTATAGCCAAACATGCTGTGATAATTATCACCAGGAGTTTTTTCCACTGTGTAAGACTCTCCTCAAAGTAAGCTGCCTAAAAGTGTCTTCTTTAGGCAGAAGGAATTGCAAGGTAGCGATTGTGCACGGGAAGGAGAATTTCCTATTAGACTCGCACAGATATAATTTTGCAGGTTGTGACTTTACAATCTGTGACAAGTTTCTGTTCCCCACATCTTTCCCTTTTTTCCAACCTATCTGAGTCTATGATTCTATGGCTAGGTAGAAAGTGTTATTTTTAACAAGACTCACCAGTGCGTATGTTTACTCTTGTGTACTACTGAGTGGAATCTCTCTATAGCACTCCTGTCATCTAGAGAAACCCTGTTACTGTTTTCAGCAAGATTCCACTGCCTGCAAATTTTCTGTTCTCTGCCTGCATTTAATGCTCTTTTAACCACATACACTAAGAAGTAAGTAACTTTTCTCCCAGATTTTTGCCTCTGTCCTTGCTATATTAACCAGGACAGAGTTAACCAGGACAGGCTCAGAGCAGTAGCTTTGTTTTCCCCTCGTTTTTGCCGAGTGAATTCGTTAGCAAACAACGACAAGTTTTCACGAGCTAGCACCAGTCTCCTCTAATTGCTGATTTCTCTAATGCGGCAGAAACGGAGAAACAGGTGCCAAGTGCAAGGCTAAATACAGCATTTAAACTATGTATTTCATAAGAAGCTAAGCTCTAAGCCTCGTCCTTTTTCGAACGAAGACAGAAGAAAGCAGGAGGATGTCAGAAGTTGTGAAATACTCACAGGTCTCGGGGTGCAGAGCAGCAAGCCGACACGGCACAGAGGCCAGGACAAGGTTGGCACCAGTGACACCAGCAAATGCTCCACCCCCTGCTCCGTCCTGTTTTACTTTCAGTTGTGACATAAATAGTTTTGTGCCTAATAAGGTGGAAGTCGTTCTCACGACACAGAGCAGACCGCAGGGATTTCCTGCTGCCGCTTCCTGGCGGCTTTCAAACCTGGAGGGGAAAACCCCGAACAAAGCCAGGCAGAAAGGACCGCGGGGAAATACACATTCCTGCAATTTAGAAGGCAGGGAGCGAGTGCAATGCACATTCCTGCAGTTTAGAAGGCAGGGAGCGAGTGCAATGCACCAAAGGCAGCTGCCTGATGGCTGTCTGAGCATGGACCTTGGAAGAGATGAGTTTCTGGAGCTGGGCATTTCCTTCTTGTTTCTCGGTGAGATAATGGGGTTTTTTTCAGCAACACTGCTTATAAAACAATGCCAGTCAGTTCACTGTGCTGGCACACTCTGTTGCAGAAAGATGCCAAAAATCTATTTACAAACATAAATAAGACTTCTGTGTCTTCAACAGCTGTCGTACAAGCGAGAGAAAATAAAAATACAGACTTTCCACAGCCAATGACAGATTATGAAAAGCACCAGCATTGCAGGAAAAACATCAGCTTGGATAAATATTTAAACCAAAGGAACATATCCATTTACTAACTGCCTTGTGATAAGAGCACTTATTTTCAGACAAGTGTGGTCATAAATACCTGCTTATTCAGCTCACTCCAGCTCAAAGAGTGAGTAAATAATACCAAGTATATGTGTAATTCCATGTAAGTACTTGGACTTGGATCCCAAGGTGTCTCATATTTTCCGCTGTTTAAATCTGAAAGAAAATTGAGTGTTTTCCATTTTTTTTTCTTTTTGATGAGATAATTTTGCTATGCTAAATTTGACAGAATTTTCTAAACCAGGAGAAATTTATAAGCAAATGGACAAAAACAAAACATTTGCACACCTGCAAATGAAACCACTGTCAGGTGGGGAGTATTAATGAATACTAAACCAAAAAAGTACATAGCTGAAGAATTCACTGCTTGCTCACTTACATCCATACCCTGAATGAATATTCTAGAATGAATATTAATTCTAGAATGAATTCATGAGGATTCTCTAAAGCCATATTTCACACTAGCATGAATGTAGTTTTTTATAATGCTTCCATCAACAACCAAAAAGTGTGTTATGTAAGTGTGAACATATCATAATAACTTTCATGTTAATCCATGTAAGAGCTTCTCCTCACAGAACAATTTAGAAGAACTTGGGCAGAGCAAAGAGAGTGATATAGGAACAGTACAGTATATAGGAATAAGTATAAGGGAACAGTTTTAACATTTCTATTGTGTTGCCTTCATTTGGGAATAAAGCAGCTAAAAATAAACCTAAAAATAAGGTTCCAAAGGATTTCTCTTTCTCTTCCAAAGGATTACAGGTAAAAATGTCTATGCCAGCCAAAGATTTTCATCTTTTGATACAGTGTCATTTTGGTAACTGCTGATATAATCCACCTCTTACCTTGCAAGATGCAGTCCCTTTGCAGGGTTCAATATGATCAATTTTACTGATGTGTTAAAAGTTTCATTCTGTCCAAATAACTGAGTATGGCTTGGAGCTTACTGGCTCTGTCAAGTACTGTGAAGCAAGGATTGCATAAAGAGTTGTTTTTAAAGGAGGTTAATTATTTTAATCTTGGCAAAAGAGGAGTTGATGAAAAATTTTCTTTGGTTCCCAATGGTTACTGTGAAGAAAAGAATCTTGGCTTCCAAGGAATTTTAATTTTTGAGTCAAGGGATTTGAGGTCAACCTTCAGTTTACTTAGATCATCTCTTCCTACAAATTATCATTGTGCTTGTTCATATGTTGTCTCCTCCAGATGTTTTTAGCTATCCACAAAATAGTTTTGAGATTTGTTCAATGCACTTTATTTTGTTTGCATGCCCCAATTAAGGATGAAATATGTGTTTATCAAGATATTCTTATGTAGTGGCAAAGGAAGTTGTGTAATATTTCATGTGTGTATTCAATAGTTTCTTGTTTATGCTGCTGTGTTAGATTCTAGCTTAGGAGCCTGAATCTTCAGATTTGTGCGCTCAAAATTCTTTTTCATGACAAAATTTGAACCTTCCTGGCCTGTGAAAATGCTTATTAACAGAAGTTTGCAAGAAAATCAATCTGGTACAATTGCAGTAATGTGCTTCTCATCACAGAGGCACATTTTTTACTCTCATGTTTTTCCTTGTAGAAAATTTTCTCATCTCGCAGTTGCTAGTTAAGTAAATTCTTTCTGTAAAATTCTGCTTTTAAGTTTTTATTCATCACTTTTTCCCTCTTAGATTTCTTAAAAACTCCTGCAGTTTTGGCATATGTGCCACTATAACCCAAATTCAGGAATTTTGGTTGTCCTGTGGCTTACTCTTGTATTTGTTTTCAGGCCCTTATGTTTGCCCTTTTGCAGCCTCTGGGAAAATAACATTCACTTATTTGAACATGCTGGGCCATTTAAGGTTATATTTGTCTGTCAGATAGCTCTTTTTGCTCTGCCCTTCACATAAACAAATTTCACAGAAGACAAACCCATCCTGCTATGAACATCTTGTAAAATGCATATGTGAATAACAACGTTGCAGAAACTAACCAGAGGCAAAGATCTGTCACAAGCCTGCTTAATTACTCTCTTACTCACCAATGCTCTTTGCATTATTGAAAGGCCTATAAAATCAAAACACTGCCTTCTAGAGCCTGAGCTCCTGACTAAAAGTAATAATAGCAGTTGTAAAGAATTAGACTCAGGACAAGCAAGATCCAAACTTGCAAATGTGGTTTTAATGGGCAAAGAAATTGTGACACATTCTTCAGCAACAGAATGAAACCTAAACCATGCCCAGTGAGAAGAGCTTGCTATATCTAATACTTCTTCAGCTGTAACATCTTCTTGTGAGAGTATCTCAATCCAGGAGGAACACCAGGATCCTTACAGCGCTGCGAGCACAGCCAAGATATTTGGACAAGAAATCTTAAACCACCATCAGGCTCTTCTGCCATATATTGTTTATCGTAGTGCTCTCCTCACCAGGAGCCCTCATCATTCCTGCCCTGTCCTTGGGGTTTCACTGCCAGCACTGAAATGGTGACAACGTGGCACACCAAGGACAGTCTCCTCCATCTGACCAGCACTGCTCCCTCTGCTGTGCAGCAGCGGCGCATGGAAAGGGAGCGGCCCAAATGCTCCTGTTAAAGGTGAAAACAATTTCATTTATGCATAGAACCACATTAGCCTTATCTAGCGGAGCCCTTGCTCCTCAGTGTGTGGGAAGTGCGTATTTGTGCAGCAGCGGATCCCAGCAATGCCTTGTTTTTAGCCTCAGGCCGTAGGCTGCAGTAACCATTGGCCTTCTCCCAGCTTTGATCAAACAATGCTACTTCCACGAGCTCTATGCACAGCTTTAGTATGGCATCATTTCTCAAAACACACATTTTATAGCTACTCTGTGCTAATTTTAACTTAATTTGGAGAAGAGGAGGGTGAGAGGGCAAAAGGTTTAATTGCTGCTACATGGCTGGAGCTCCGTACCATCGTCTGATGAAGTGCTGTATAATTTGCAGACTTTTACCTTGTAATATGTCTAATGTGTGATATTCCTAAATAGTTTTCCATGAATGTTTGCAAATTTCATTGTTAATAACAATCTTAATCTGGTATTCATTAGCCTGTTAATTAGACTGTCGTTTAGAAATTCTTGCTTCCAATTAGCTTTAATGACAACATCAGAATACTTTTTCTGTGCTGCCATTTTCGTGCTACACTTTCCCATTTAAACTGCCTGCTGCTCTATCTTAATTAAATTTAATAACAGTAGTGGTAGTTTATTGGGGACTTTTTAACCTCATTTAATGTCAGACCATTTATACTGGTTTGAAGTAGGCACTGAAAAAGTTTGCATTAATCCAATTACTTTTAAAAGAAGCAAACTTCACTTTTCAAAAGATTTTAATTAAGGCAAAATCCCTATGAAAGGTCAAACTCCCTACCTGTGCAAATGTGAGGAAACATTAGGGAGTTTTCTAGGTACAATGAAGATACATTAAAAAATCCACAATATCAAGAAACACTAAAGCACTAATAGAAAGAAGGAAGCCATAACTCTTTGTTTGTTTTAATAGAGGAGAAAAGGGTGAAAAAGCTGTCAGTGTCATTAGTGGCTCAGTATTGCCATTCAGAGCAAACTTAGGTAGGGAATGGTTGCAGCATTTTTTATCTTGGGAAAGCTCCACAGGGCCTGAATAATGTGCTTAGCATTATGCACCACCCTTGAAGCTGCACCATGAGACTAAAAGCATGGTTCTCATTAAAAATAATTATCTTTTTAGCCTATGCAAGTTTAAAGCCCTTTGGAGAATCTTTTTAGGGGATCACAGAAAATCACAGAAAAGTAGATTGAAAGAGATGCTGGAGGTCACCTAGTCCATCCTCCTCCTCAAGCAATCTGTCTAAACCCATACCATTCCTGAATAAAAGTTTGCTGGACCTTACAGTCCTGTTGGGATAAGAATTTGTGTGTTTATTACACACCGCAAAGGCGTCACAGGCTGCTTCTGCTCAGCTTTACTCACTCATCTAAAGCTTGCTCTTAGGACCATGAGCCACCATTAGATCTGGACAAGGGTTTCATGGAATCGTGGAATCATTCAGGTTGGAAAAGATCATTAAAGCACCAAGTCCAACCATTAATCTAACACTGCCAAATCCATCCCTGAACCAGGTCCCCAGGTGCCACATCAATACATCTCTTAAACCCCTACAGGGATGGTGATTTAACCACTTCCCTGGGCAGCCTGTTCTTCCCTGCTGCAACGCTTGACCACCTTTGAAGTGAAAGAATTTCCCTACCACGCAGTCTAAATCTTCCCTGGTGCAACTTGAGGCTGGTTCTACTTCTCTTACAAGTGTACCTAATTTCTGGGCAGATATCCAGTCTTATTCACTTTCAGCTAGTAACTTCTCTTTGATTCTCCAAGTATAAAAAAGGCTGCCCATGTTGGTATAAACTCTGAAAATCAGAGGATTTTTTTGTATCTATGTGTTTTCCTTGTTTTGGTTTCTTGGGCATGA